ACAGTCCCATTTGTTGTAGGACTTGTGCAAAGTGATCCTGCCAGGATTTTGGACTTGATCGTAGTCCATAGGTTGCTTTGTTGAGTTTCCATACTGTGGTTGTGTTGTGACCACTCGGGTATAGTTCTGGTGGTGGCCACATGTAAAGATTGTCTGTTGCTGCTGGTGTGTGCAAGAATGCTGTTGACACATCTCCTGCTTGTATTGTCCAGTGGTTGTGCTGTGCCATTGTCAGTAGGATACGTAAGATCCCAAAGATTGGTGTGCTCGCATAGATGTTGTCAAGGTCTTGGATTGTTTCCAAGTTTCTATGATCTTGTTCTTGTGTTCTTCAGGGACATCATTGTAGTTCATCTCTGTGAACACTCCTTGTGTCTTCATCGATTGTGCTTCTTTTTTCATTCCTTTTTGTACTTTCAATGGATCAAGACCTTCATTGTCGTAGACGAAGGGTTCTTGTAGCATCCTTTCCACATCTGCTTCTTGTTCATCTTCACAGGATGCTGTGGTGATCTTGTCACCTTTCTGTGTGGTGATTGTCACTGCTTGTATTCTCATCTTTGCTTTTGGTTGTTCTTCATCTTGTCCTCGGTTTGCTGCTGCTGAGGACTGTGCTGTCCTCAATTGTTTGGATTGCGCTTCACCTGTAGGTTCCTCGTGTTGTCGTTTGCTTGCTGGTGGTATTGGCAGTGGTGGTCTTGCCGATGTTGCCATTGTTGTATCCATTGGCTGGTGGTGCATTGCTTGAGCTGGTAGTGCCAGTGGTGTCTCTTGTATTGTCCGTGCACTTGTATCTTCCACTGTAATGTCGGCTTGTGTGCCAATTGCGTGTCTGCTTGCGGTGTTGTCAGCTGGAAGAAGCAATTGTGGTGGAACTGCCATTGGTGGTGTTGGCAGATTCCATGGATACACGTTGATAGTATCCAATAGTTGCTTGTCGTACTTGTCTGGCATGATCTGTCTTCGTATTGTTCTTGCTTTGATGACCTTGCCAGGGATGCCAACTATTGACTCTCCTCCAGTCATTGTATCTATGCCAAGCCAGATTCCTTTGAAGAATCTTGGTTCCATCTTGGGTTGCGCTTTTGTTGTTGGTATCATGTATTGTACTGTTTCTGCCATCTCGCATAGTGGTGCTTTGTGGTCCTTTTGCCATCGTCTTTGGTAACTTGTTTGTCCGTCATTGTGCATGGCCATGCTGCATGCCGCGCAATCCACGGCATGACCGGATGTTGTACGCTCAATGTAAGGTTGTAACTTGTGGTCACTTGTTGTACCAGTGCTCGGACTTGTCCCATCAGGGTGCGATGGAATCGTTCAATGCTTCCTTTTGATTGTGACGAGTATGCCGGTGATTGTCGGATGTTGACGTTGTTTCCGAGCTTTTGCGCGACGGCCTTCAATAGGTTCTGTATGCACTCTTCTTGGTCTGGTTGTAGTGTTGGGGTTGATAGTCTTGCTTGTGCTCGTCCACATTTGAACATGAATGTTTGTAGACATCGTATCAGGTATTGTTGTTGTTGGTTCTTGTCTTGCACAAGAACTGCCATTGCCATACCTGATTCGACATCTATTGCTGTCAGTACTGGTAGTACAGTACTTGTTTTTCTCCAAATGCTTTCATGTATGTGAAGTCCACTTGTATCACTGGTTGTTTGCTTGCTTGTTTTGGATGACTGTCTGTTCTTCCTTTGCTCTTAACACAGATTGGGCACCATGAGCGGTATGGTAAATGTGTCAGTTAATGTTCTAGCCTTTCTTGTCTTGTTGGTTGTTGTGGCGCCTTCATTCCTTTGGCGCGTTGTGCTTGTTGAGATTCATCTTCATTGTCCGTGTCGTATTCGTATTTGAGCTTTTGAAGTTTGTTGATCCAGTCCATTGTCTGTCAAGCTGTCTTGCTCCTGATTCGTGCCAGTTGTCATGGATTGTGTATCCTCTTCCTTGTTCCGTTCTGTTCACGAATGTTGTCCGTGTCGATTTGAGTCGTCCAATGTCTGGACCATCGTCTGTTTGTTTTGGTGCGTACATTGTCGGCCGTACCTGTACGTGAACTCGTTTCCAATAATGTCCTTCCCTGATCCAGTAGTCTGTTGTTGATGTCATTGTGGATGGATCAGGTATTGGCGTAGTTGTTGGAGCTGGCTTCTTTGTTGTGTGTCTGTATAGTGGGTCTCTGCTTACCTGTCGTGTTGTCCCGTCTTGTTCCGGGAGTTGTAGTGTTGTTGATTGGTGTCGTGCTTGTAGTGCCTGTGGTGCTTTCTCTGTCTGCTCGGTTGTCTTCGCTGTTGTGGTTGCCGGTTGTGCTGGCGGCTTGTTCACTCTGAACTATGTTTCCCCTGTCCATGTGTCTCCTTGTATCACTCGTCGTTGTTCATGCTTGCTCAGGTCATGGTATTGTTCAACAATGTCCTGGTTGTTCCCGTCTGTTCGTCGGATGATTGTTCGTCTGTAGTTGCTCAATGTCTCCAGTGGTAATGGGCAATTGTCGCCAGGAACAAAGAGAGCTTTTCTCTTGTTCCGGTGATACCGTACAAGGTATACTTCATTGTTGTAGTTCCAATAGTCGCCGTTGCCTCCAAGGACTTGTTGTGGTCCATGTCTTGTCAGTGTTGTTGGAGCAATCATTGCAATCATGCCCTTTTGTGTATGTCTCAACTGTAGTTGTTGATGTTGTCCCAGGTTCATGATTTTTGCTGGCAAGTAGTAGAGGTTGTGCTGCTGCACCAAGGGAACATTGAATGCCTTGTCATGGCGCATTGTGGGAGTGTCGTTGAACCTGATGTCAAAGCCTTGTTCTGTCAGTCTTGTCACTGACAGGATTGGGTCATGAATGTCACACACATAGAAGGGTATGACAATTGGTTGTCCTCTTGATTGCGTGCAGACCCATCTTACTCCATAGTGTTGTATTGTCTTGTTTGTCACTGTCCTGAGGTTTGGGCTTTGTTCTTGGTCGATCTTGTACACTGGAGAGTTGTCTGCAAACCATAGTGGGCAGACATGTGTGGCTGCTCCACTGTCGGTCATGATGTGTATAGTGTCTGCTGTACCGCTGTTTGTTGTGGCTGTCTTGTGGTCATTTCCATTGCTGATCATGGCAATGACATGGATTGGTGTCATATCGTGATTGCTTGTGAATGGAATTGGCGGAAGTGCCAATGGTTGTTGTCCCTGTTGTGGTCTCGTGTAGTCCTGACAGTACCATCCATTGTCGTAGTAGTCGTCGTACCATTGTGTTGTCGTGTCTTCAATGTCATTGTTTTCTCCTTGTCCAATGTTGTGTATTGCCACCCGGCAGTCTGTTCGTCCACATCTGTAGCATGTGTCTGTCGCTTGTTTTCCTTTGTTCTTTCCTTTGCCTTTGTTGTATCCTTTACTGAATCCTTTGTTTCCTTTGTTGCCTCTTCCAAATGGATTGCCGAAGCCAATCGGACTGTTGTTGTAGCTGTTGAATCCTTTTCCTCCATACTTTCCTTTCCCTTTGTAGTTGGTGTTGTAATTGTTGTAGCCGTATATAGCCGTTGTATCCTCCGTAGCCTTTGCCTTTGTTCTTTCCTTTTCCTTTGCCTTTTCCTTTGTAGCTGTTGTATTTGCCTTTTCCTTTATGGATTGCATCAATGTCCATAGGTGCTTGTCCACCACCAAAGCTTGTTGCCACGCTGGGTGATTGTGATCGTAGTTGTTGTAGTTTGCTGAATGCTGTTGTCGACCTGTAGTACTCGATGATTGTTTGTTTGACTCGTGCATAGTTCGGGCTTTGTCCTGAAAGCAGTTGTAAGTGTTGTTGTAGTGGTCCACTTGTCTCGTTGAGCAATACGGCAATCTTCACAGAGTCTGGGAGTGTTTGCCATTGTCTCGCTCGAATCGTTGTAGCTCAAATTCCCATGTGGAAAATGATTCTTCGAAGTTGTTCTTGTCAAATGTTGGCTTCAATAGTCTTGTTAGGTGTCCAATGGATCTTGTCCCCAATGGAATGGAGAAGCAGATGCACAATTGTCGGTATATCTCGAAGCCAATTGTATGTTGGTATTGTCTGCAGACTGTGGCTGCTGCTCCTGTTGTTGTGTTGATGAGGATGTACCTCAAGTCGGTGCTAAGGTGAACATGTCGTTCACCATCTTCGATTGTTGATGCCGCTGCTCGTAATTGTACTTCTGTGAGTTCTGCTGTGCCTCGTTCTGCTGCTTGTAGCAATTCTGTGTAGTCGTTGTCTTGCAATCCCATGTATGCTGTGAACTTGTATTTCCATTCTTCGAACGTGCCATAGTCTCCATTGAAGAGGGGGGTTTTGAGTTTGTATCTGTTCATGTTTGCCATGTTTGTGGTTGTCTCATCTTCTGGAACTGGAGGCAGGTGGTCTCCTCCAGCTTGAGCTGCTGCTGGTGCTGCCATTGTTGCAGCTGTTCAAGCTACCTGTTGTAGGGTCAAGGTTTGTCCTCTGTTGTCTGTGTTTGTATGCTTGTTCCTGTTGTTGTATTGGAGCTCACCTGGATTGTTGTTACCAGGATCCTTGCTCCGCAATCATGTAAAATTCAGCAGCTGTTTGTTTGTCGTTTGTTTGTGCACGTCACTGTATTGTTTTCCTCTGGCAATTGCCTTAGGCTGAGCTAGGCTCAAGGCCTTTGATCCAAGGTGCATTGTATAGCACCAAGCCATTGTTACATGAACACTACGATAGAGCAAGTATGCTATTGTACAAAAGCTTGTATCTTGACAAGAGCGAGAGAGTGAGAGAGGGAGAGAAGAAACTTTCATTTTCGGAGGGCAGCAGCTCTTGAGAGCTTTGTTGGGTGGGCAGGGGAAATGTTTTCTTTGAGGGAGATTTCTGCTGTGCGACGACGCAACCAAAAAGAGAAAGAGAGAAGGGTGCAGAACAGCAAAGAGCACAAGACCACTTGCAAGACCGAGAAGCCGGGAAATTCATTGAAGTAGGCTGTGATGAAGGAAGCACAAAGTGGTGGATTGGCTTTGGGCAGCCTGTTTTTTGATTGCCTGGTGAGGCAGACCTAGCTGAATTGCGGAAGCAGCTTTTGGCCAGTGGGAAGACGATTGGCTTTGTCTCTCGAGAGTCCGAGGCAAGCAAATTTCCGGAACCAAGTGTATATATAGCATCGACTTATTGATTGCCGTTCCAGGTCAAGATGGATAAGTTTCTCAAGAAGTGATTGCCTTGGCATGACAGCTGGAGCAAAATGAGCTAGGTATTGAAGGGAGAGTTTTCACAGGAACCCGCATTGAATTCTAAGGCCAAAAGGCTGCAGTGCCCAGCTGGGAGCGAGTTGGAAGAAATTGATTCTTGATAGCCACTGTGCACAGGATTCCACGGTTCGGCCCTGCCTTGTTTGCAGCAGGTGGACCATTGAAAGGGTTTTTGAGGGGTTCCACAATTAAGAACACGCCCTTAAAAAGATGATGGTAATCCCAAGAGGGTGCGAATTGGCCAACAAGACAAGAATAGAACAGCTCTCGAACACATTGGTGAGTTCAGAAGAGTGTTTTGAAGTCTGGGGCTGTTTTTCTTTGGGGCGAATTTGGGGCGAATTTCGGGAAACAGATTCCAAATTGTCAAGAACAATTCTTTGGTGCATTTATCAGACTTTTCCTGTAACCGGTGGGCTGGTCGCGGATACTTTGTATATAGTTATATCGTGTTAGTTATGGTTATTTTTGGACAGTAGTGGACCCTGAAACGTGGCGCAATGTCAAGCAGGTATGCGGTTCAAAGGCTTTCTTTGCTTGGTTTTCTGCGTCCGTTCAAGGTTTAGAAATTGTCTGGTGCGCATTCCGACAATTTGGGAGCAACCCCTGCATCTTAGGATAGCCTTGCAAGCGTTCAACGTTGGGGTTTTTGCAGTGAACTTGCAGCGTTGGAAAGAACAGCACGGGCCCCAAAAGCCAAACCGAGTGCATGGTGACAAAACAGGGGCTGCAAGTTGCAAGCAGAGAGTTGAAAGTGTTCATTCGGCAGAGGCATGTTGCTGAGAGAGTGGAAGAACTGGTGACGCAGCACAACCGGTGTGGTGGCCAGCTTTGGGCCACTTGGTCCGGCATTTTTGACAACTTTGGCCCGCAGGTTGTGAGAACCCAAGTTTTTGCTCCTTGATTTTGTTGATCTTATCAGGTTGGCGGCTCCCAGCCTCCCCTGCTGCTGGCCTTCCTGAACCTGAAGCAGGCAGGGACGTCAAGGCTTGCCCTTGTGACTTCGTCACCGCCTTTGTGAGGGTGAAGAGAAGGATTACATCGTTTTCCCTGCAGAGTGGAACTATGGTGACTTGGGCGGCTGCCTTGGATTTTGGGATGCTGGCTTGGTGTGGCATTGAGTGGGAGAGTATATACTTACTTCCGGTGTGTTAGCTCGAAAAATACTGAATTTGCCATGGTTCCTGTCGCCTCAAAATGGGGCACTTTCCATTCCATGTGTCAAGTGCTGCTTGTGACCAGTTCTACCCTTGCTTTTTTCATTGCTTGCTTCCAGCTTTTCTTGGATTCATTTTGCTGGCTTGCTTTGCTCCGTGTTGCTCTTGGTTGGTGCTTGTTCTTTTTCTTTGCGTGGCGCATTCAATTTTACTGTTGGTACAGGTTCCATATATATATATATCCTTTTCTGGAGCTGCCTTTTTGTTGTCCTGGTTTTCTTGATCTTTGAATTGCCTTGTCGCATGCGGCAGGCGGGCGAGAAGTAGTAAGCGAGCTAGCTGGCCTCTACCATACATATGTAGAACACATCATGATGAGTCCGGATGACGACTTTGTGCAAGCCTAGGCAGTTGAACACGACAACTATCTTCCAATTGGTGGAGCAGTTTCGAAAGGTTACCATTTGACAGGGTGAACTTCTCCAGTGTCCTTGGCGGTTGTTGGGAATTCCAGAGTCACCTAAAAAACAAATCCAACTGCAAGTAACGAAAGAATTGACAGAAGTGACAGAAGCAAACTTGAAAGCATGCTCGGGCAGGTGGTATAGCTTCAAAAGACTGCCACCTTCTTGGGTGATCGTGTCTTGTCTCGTCTCACCTGATCTCCTTCCTCATTTCGTCGCGTCTTTGGCCTGACTTTGCACTTCAGCAATTTGTGACGTCGCCTTTTTTCCATTCCCACATCTTAAAGATGTTTGCATTAATTGAAACTTGGGCTTTCCTTGCTTTTTCAAGAACCTGTATTTAAGACCTCTGGCCCCCGCTGTTGCCGGGGTATTCAGTACGATTGGGGGTGTTTACATATGCGTAACTAACAATCTCCCATCATTTGACGTATTGTCATTTCCTTGCAGGACCATCTATTTATTCTTGATTGCATGGATGATAGTGTTACTTTGATACTGACGACGATACTTTTTGGCCCCGGCCGGGCGCTTTGAAACTTCAAGTCAGTCAGCCATTCTTTACTTGCTCGACCTTTTTGTCTAGATTGGGGGCCCATCTAGCAGAGGACATCATCCTGACGCTTTGTGCAACCCATCCAAGACCCCACATCCCCCCATTCTCATCGACATCACCCAAACCCTGGAGCCAAGATTTGGCCTCACGATGCTTGTAGAATTCCGCATGTGCGCATCAGGCTTAACGAAACGGGTGCCTCATAAAAGCTTCCCAAAAGACGATGGCTATTTCACAGCCTCCAGAAACGTGCCTCCATTCTGTAAGATGTTATTTCACAGCCTGGCAACCACACAGTTCTGCACTGGTTGGCATTCGCATCTGCACTGGTATGCAAATGGGATGTGCATTCGGTCAGAAACTTCTTCGATCAATGATGCAGCTTCGAAGCTGAAACAAGTTCAGCGCACAGAAAGACTCAGGGCAACCCAGCTAAGAGGAATACAGAATGCAACAGGCATGAAGCAGAACCTACAGACACAGCTGAAGCCAGACCGTCAAGCATACACTCGAAGTGCCTGAAGCTTTTCAAAGTTGTGGACAAACCCAAAGTTGTGCTTATCAAGAGTAGCAGGTTGCTTGACCATGCTTACAAAGAGGCTGGCTTCCTCAATTCCAACGGACTTGTGGAAGCTTCAAGGGAGGATTGTCCCGACGTAGGCCTATCATAGGCAAGTGGGCAACACGGGACTAGTATGTACATAAGGACAAACTAATGTACCCGTACATACCTTAACGTACCTCTACCTCGTGAATACCCACGGTAACCTTCGCTCTGAGAAGTCTGTTCCCAGGTTGGCGCAAGGGCATTTCAGCATCAAAGCTTCAGTCGAAGAAAGTCTTGCACTGGAATGGAAACCGAAAGCCCTGGAAGACGGTTGCTGCCTTACAGGGGACAAGACAAAGTACAGTTCACACAAAAAGGGCAGACTGTGAGTTTGAAGGGGTGCCCTCCAGTTTCCGAACATCTGAGGAAGGTTTGTACAAGGAAATGTGGCTTCCACACCGTCAACGATTTGATTCCTTGCTCAAGCCATATAGTGCCAGTGACACTGGTGGGTCTACTCAGCGGTTGGTAGCTCAGAGTCCAGCAGTCAGCAAGCCTGGAAGTTGAACGACCGTCCTTGCCAGGCCAGATGTGAAGGACAAGCCTCCACCAAAAAAGAAAAGCTTGGCCCTCAGTGATGATTATACAGCCTTTTCTATCATTGTAACTCTGGATGCGTTATTTGTATTTGGTTGGGATTTGGTGATGTTTATCTGCAGGCATTTGGCTTGTATCAGTTGCTGACTAGTATGCACAAAGGGGGCATTGCAGCTCTGTACTTTCCAACCAATCCCCTGTGAATGCTTGGCATTCTAGGTGGATGACGGAGGCCTTACATTCAGATCTTGATCTTGTCCGACTGAATGCCCGCGGAGGCCTTTCAGCGACATATTGAACGACAAATACGTGGCCGGCAAATCCGATTAGACAAGCAATGCCAGGACCAGAAAGACCAGAGACACTGGAACCTGGCTCTTTTGGATGGGAGATGGTCGCCGTGCGACAGTTTAGACAGAATGCTGAATGCATGCCAAAAAGACGTGGCAGAGCGGATGCTTCATGATTTTCATTGCAGCGGTGTAGATGAAGACTTGGAGGTTCTCAAAGCAGGGTGGGCCAGCCACTTTAAAGAAAGACCCGGTCAGCCACAGCCAAAACGCCCACTTTTAGCAGACTTGGAAAGGCCTGCATCCTGCAGTAGTGAATCGGAGGAATTCGACGAACCACGAAGCATCTTGGCAGCTCAAGGTGAGCGAGCCAAGCAGCGCCTTAAGGGTCTAGAGCATTTGAGGCAGTTGGCTAAGCCTTCGGAAAAGCCTGTGGCAAAAATTGTTGAGGAAACTGGCTCATCAAGTTGCGACTGGAAGCCAATGCCAAGGTCTTCCGACAGGACACAGTCGGACTCCTGGGCTGAATGGGAGGCACGGTGGGCCCAAGCGTTTCGGCGCCTTGATGAGATGGAAGCCATACGGAGACGGCGGCGCGAGGAGAAGGAACGGGAATGCAAGGCTCACGCAGAGCATGTGGGAAAAGACAGACAAGCATTTCCAACATTTCCCTCATCATTTCCGTCTACTTCCTCAAAGCAAGGCTCAAAACCTCGCGCAGCTGCTCCCACAAAAAGCTCCCCGTCGCCCGCAAAAGAAGTCAATGCTGCTGTTTCTCAAGCAAGTCCCTTTCATTCTTTTGCAGACTTTTGTACTGCATGGAGCAAGCTGGAGAAGAGGCTAGCATCAGGAGTGCAAAATGCTTTTTTGACATGCCTTGACATTCCTTGGCCTGATGGCTTGCCTTCGGTTTCTGGAATCACCGCGTCTGACACAGCGGCTGAAGCAAAGAAGAAACTCCGCACAGCTCTACTCCGTTGGCATCCTGACAAGTGGACTCCCATCCTTGAGCATATAGCTGAGACAGACAGAGTAGAAGTGATTGCTCGGGTCAAGAACGTGACACAAAGACTTTTAGAAGAAAAGAAGAGGATGGATGGACATTGAGAAAAGCAGACCGCAGGAAGCGGACAAGCGCGAAGCGGTCAGCTTAGCAAAGCTCAAGTTTTCCAAAGTTAGTGCATGGTCTCCTTGCCTTTCTTGGTTTCACTCAGAATCCGTCTCACGAAGTCTCACGGTATGAGTCCTAAAAGAGAAGCAATTTGCACCGTGACCCTATTTTGATTGAGAAAGCTTACATGACCCAAGAGCCAAAGCAAAGGCGATTCAGACTCAATTCGCTATCACTAGGACCGCGAATGCTGTTGTGACAGGTAAAGGGCCGACAAGCACCACGACGCTGAGCCCTGAAGAGATTGCTGCAAGGAAAGCATGTCCTTCGGTGATGCTGACGTGCTTGAATTGGACCCAGACCCCAGTTCAACATGCTTTGATTTGATTGGTGTACTTGGAGAACCTGCTAGTACCTCGCGGCATGTCGCTCTTCAGCTGCTCCAGATGATCAATCATTGACCGTGCTGCCATGGCAGGTGCTACTTTTAGATGAATGGAGTGAGGGTTGCTCGGATGCGGAATTTGCAAGTCTTAATGCCTGCCGCTTCCCGGCGTTCTTGGTGCCATTTTGGCGGTGATTGTGAGGCTCGCAATGTACCATTGGGAAAACCTATGGCTGTGCAAGCGAGGGGATGCCGCAAACCAAGCTATGCACTAGCAGCTACTAGCACAATGCAAGGGCAACCTGCAGAGCAGTCTAGACTTGTGGAAGGTATGTGGGAGCTGGATGCTCTGGCCTATTCAGCGTGCAGGGCTCTCAGCACGTTGGCGGCTTCCGTTGCAGATGTAAGATCCAACCTTGATATTCAAGAACTGTCAAGGTCCGGCAAAGCCACTGTCTGTGGAGTTGGGCGAAGTAAGTGCGAACCAGGAGCTCTGCCTAAAGTTGCTGATTGTGGGCTTGGGCCCCAGGATTTGCAATATAATATGGTTTATGTAGGGGAAGCTTTTGGTAAGCTTTCTCTCTTTGAGGCTGATGGTCCTTACAAGCTACTTTACCACAAAGAAAGACTGGCAACGTGGCAAATATGCAAAGCCGTCCTTTTCTAAAATTCAGACGCTCGGCAGTGCTCTTTGCATTTGCTCTCTTGTTGTCTCTTGCTTAGACAAGATCTTGAGTCGGGAGTCTTCGAACTTTCTTTTTAGTGAGGAAGCTCTACCAGACAGCCATCACAAATGGGCTGGCTGTGAGTGTCCTGTATGATTCCTTGCCTCAGGATTTCATAGATGCTTAGCATTACGTCAATTTTGAAGACACAAGTGCATTGTGAATAGAGCTGAGGGTGCTCAAGGCCGCTTGCCATGCTCAGGATGCGTACGCTTCCCACCGTTTCCGCTTTGTGCAAGTAAACTTGACAGAGTTCGACAAGAGGTGCCATGAGAACTGCAGAAAACCATGAGAACATGCTTTCCCAATTTAATTTCATGTCGCCACTCCCCAGGTACGGTGTAAATGACGTCCGGTACTTCTTTTTCCATCGCCTTCTCAACCAGAATTCCGATTGGAAATCTGTCTTTATTGCTTTGCTGGCCTGTTGCTATGCTTTGTCATGTGCTTGTGAGGAGTTTTGCACCATTCCTTTTCTTGATTAATGCTCGCTGAAGGTGGACGCTTTTGATGTGCGATCTGGGATGAATCCCTGCTCTGGGATCCAGCCTGGCAAGATTTTTGTCGGAGGTGAGCAAGACAGGCCAATAGTCTGTTTGGTTTTCAGGCTAGTGACTAGAGAACGCTGAGGATTCAAGATGATGTTGTAGGTGGACTGAGCGCCTTTGGAAATTTCTGGAAGGCTCAAGAAGCATCCATGGATGAAAGCACGCTTCCAGAAAATGGGTGGCAAGTACAACCAATGGTATACCAGCAAGGTCACAGACAGTGACGCCCTCAGATGGACAGTGGCCAAAACCACTAGCTTGAACTATTTGCATTGCCATTTGCTTAACGAAGTTTTTTGCTGCTTTCTTTGCCTCTTTGGCTTAGAAATGAAGATCCTGAACTGCGGCATCACTGGGGGCCAGCGGGATGTCATGCTGAAATTCCTCTCCCGGATGGTGCAGGTTTTGCAGGATCCAGCTTTAGCAATTCGTCAAAAAAACGAAGACATCAACTTGAACCTTGGCCTTAAAATCCTTGGGGAGAACCAAGGTTGTTGCGCTCCGCATATCCTCATTAAATGGCTGACAAAAAAAGGGATAAACAGTGGATACCCAATTACAAGTTCGGCAGCATCAAGATACGCCTTTGAGCCGTTTATACCTGCACGCCGTGCAGTCTCAAATGGGACTGCAAGGCCTGGCAGCATCAAGACACGCTTCTTTAGCATTCATACTTTTTGGGACTGCAAGGCCTGACATGATAAAGACGCTCCTCCGGAGCATTCATACTTTCACACGTTGCAGTTCCAAAACATCGGGAAATGATAGGGGGCACAAAAACGTGCTGATGCAAGCGTTACACAATTCAATTTGTACCGAACCTCGATCCCAAAATATCCCAAACAAGGTAGACAAGGGAAGGTATCTTAGAGAATGTGTAGAATATATTTTATTTATTTATGATTTATACCTACGTTTTCTGCGTGCAGCGACCTAGAAACATGACCTCGTGACCTTTTGGTTGTACTATTTGAGCCACGCCCAAGCACCGAAATTTATGGGTGGCAGGTTTCACCTTGGTCGGTTGATCCATTGGACGAAGATCACGCGCGATTGCTGCTGCTTTCTGTCAGCAACTTTTCCAGGCTGTGGTGTAAGTTCCACTTTTGAGGTGTGGTGCAATGTGCAATGCTTCTGACTGTTGGGACTGGAATCAACAGGTGTTTCTGCCTGCCACATGGCTCTCATGTTAGTCCCTGTGCACACCCGCCAGCCTGTGCAGAACTTCCAAGGAATATGGCAGCTTTGAATTACATTTTGTACACGGAGTTTGACGGCAAGTTCCAATATGGACCGCCGGTCCATTCGGTGTACAAAAGGCAAAGCTTGCAAACCTTTGCGTGTTCTGTTGGTTTTTGACTGTTTTTGACTGAACTCGGCTATAGCTGTGCAGGTTTGAGAATCGACGCAAAGATGTGTGGTGGGTGCACAAATGAAGGATCATACTGCTGAAGCAAGGGCTGAAGCAAGAATTGGCAAATTTGCGTCTGGCCTTCATCATGCAGATTCTTTGCCATGACCAAGATGGTCCTTGTGGGGCAAAGTTGTTTTTCCCTGGCATGATGAGTGTTCGGGCGAAAGAAAATACTTTGGCGAAAGCTGGAGGCTTCAGCGCAACATTTTCTGCATCCCGGTCCAGTCGTCCACAAACAAGATGTTTTCTCTGTTGACATTGCTGACATCATGTACATGTGTTTGGCTCAACAGTTTCACTTCCCATGACCTGAGGATGCATGCCAGTTGGTACTTGATCATTTTCCGGGTGTCGCATTGTGGTGGTTTGATAGAAATGGCGCAGTAGACTCTCCAAAGAGTAAGAGGCTCCTTCACATGGCAATGGTTGTCAGACAGCCTTCCAGCCGAACGGAGTACTTCCGGCTCGATCAGCCCCTTGCAGCAGCTTTCACGTTTTGATGAACAGTTTGCAGCGATTCCGTTTCTGCAAGCTGGATGTCTGAGGCATGACTCCTTGCTTCCAGAAATACGGCCAGAGGGAATGCAGTTGAAGAAGGATGCTATGCCGTTTTGTGTGGTCTTTGTGTTATGCTATTGCTGAGCTAAGGAGTGTGCCAAGTCTGTGAAATCCAAAGCCAGATCTTCCTCTCAGGATCCAAGAAGTGAAACGAATGTGGAAGGGAAGGCCCGAGAAGTGACGGAGCACTCGGTCGAGTTGCTCGAGCAGCTCAGCAGCAGACACGGCACATTGACAAATTGACATGGCAGAATGTGTGTTTTCTTTTTTTCTCTCCTCTCCGGGCACCTATACTGTATGTAGTTCATCCTCGATGCGTGCTTCAGGAAACTGAATGAGCTGAGTCAGCTCCAGCACTCCATGGAGACTGAGCTTTCACCCTGCACTCCGCGGATGCGAGGCCATACATATGTTTTGTAAGCCAGTACCGCGTTGGCACTTAATTCAGTATATATATATAGTCATTTCGACCCACTCTATCCACATGGTGTTTCTCCAGCTTGGTCTCAAGAAGCTTGTGTCTGTCAACCACCCCGAGTGTCAAGAGTAATGAAACCAGTCTTCAAACTTTTCATTGGCCTGGCATGTTGCATGTTTTGGCGAGATTTGCTACGCCAAAATTGTTTTCCTTTCAGGGCTGGATGTGCTTAACAACACCTTCAACGAATCCGATCGCTGTGCTGGCAAGGCTCGGCTATGCGGACCAAGATTTGCTTGTTGTCTTTGCGGAGTGCTTGCCCCCTGTTGGCGCAGGCACTGGAAGCCCAATGTTTTGCAGCTGCAGTCGCAGCAGCTAGAGCTGCCACACACTCTTTGACCCAGCCAGTTGATAAAGCAATGTCTGAATCCCACGGGAGTGGCTTCACTGGTGGTGGCCCACTGCCGCCACTGGGCCTCCAAGCAAACTGTCACGACTGGAGCAACCCAAATCAAGACCACTCAACCCGAGTGGCCCGAGCTCATGCGATCCCAAACCGTACACCAGACAAAAGTTTTGAGGTCACGCTCGGGTTCCTCACGCCTGATGTTTCGAGATGTGGAACTCCTTTTCAAACTCCGCGGGCTGAAGCACCTTCCCCTGAGCGGACAACCTCCGATTTGGTTGCTCCCAGTCCAGGCCTCAGCATTCAAAGTGTGAATGCTCCTGGCATCGATGAAGACACATAATTCATCTAAATAAGTTTGTGTATACAACTATATATACACACACTTTAACCCCGAGTCTGATCAGGTAAATGATGTGGTCTTTGATGCGTCCTTTTGCCGCCACAGCGTCTTGCAATTTTGTCAGTCCGTTGGCACGGTGCGGCGTAGGGTGCTCACGTGGTGAGCTCGAAGCGTCGCCTGTCGTGGTGTTTTGTGCTCCGGCTGATTTGATGTGACTGGTGCAGGAAACCATGTGAAGTGGATCTTAATCTTGTGAAACCCTCACTAATTCAGGCTCTGTGTTTGCTCGAGTGGCTCTTCGAGATGGCTCGAAGCGGGCTTCGTGTTTTAGCTCACATAATGAGTGGGTCGGCTTTACCAGATGAGGAGGCAGCAATTCACCATGCACCACGAACCTACCACTTCACTGCTCTCTGTGAGACATGAAACACACTTCGGCGCCAAGTGTTTTGGATGCTGCACAGTGTTGCTACTACAGTGCTACAGTTTGAGAAAACTGTGAGTCTAAGTGCAACACAATGTGTTACTGGCACGGAAGTCAAGTGTGTTGTAAAATGTATATATGCATAGTTTAAGCCCAAATCTCACACAACATTGCGAGTCGGCGCAGCGCACTGCCTGTGGAGTTTTGCTGAGTGTTTCTGCTTGGGGGGCTGCCTTTTGGTTTTCACAGTCGATTTTTCTTAGTTCACAGGAGAGATTCGGAGAGATGTGACAGGTGCAAGGGTCGGAGCACTCGAAACAAATCAGAGCCCCAGGAGAGCCTTGCAACTTTCATTTTTTGATATCGCTGGAGTTTTCAGCAAGTTTGTGAGTCCCAGGAGTGGCCGCTGTTTGTCGCTGTCTGGAAGCCCTGCAGATGGGTCTCTATTGGCCAGGGGCCCAATGTTGAGCCTCTCTGCAAGCTAGGAAGCTCAACCGCTTTGGTGAAACAAAGGTGTAGCATCT